TATATATATATATATGACTGTATGGGGAAGCGACATGAAACTAGCCTAGCTCGAGTATTCTGAAGTGTCTACGCCTCCAAACGCACAACTCGACAATCTGGGAAGGAACTGTCAGCAAGAAAACCATCGAAATCAGTTAGCCGCTATTTCTCAAAACAGCTCCAGCTCCAACATATGGAAGGTCATAAAGATCTATCCCTGAGGGTGGACGGAACCAACACACAAGCTCGTTGTTTTCTTTTTGCACCCATCTAGCACGGCGCCTGCTATCCATCTCGCAGATTCTGTCATTTTAAAGGCGACATGCAGAACAATCCCCATCTCGATAGATGACAGAGTAGCATGTGTAGCACATACAGATAACGTCAATGCATTTACCTCAGCGGAAATTGCCTTATTTTGAGAACCGAATAGTATTCACCCAGATAGGTCGCCGCCATTCCATCCTGAATTTAACAGCCAAGTCAAACGCTTTGTCCACACTTTCAAACCAGCACTTCAAAAACTCAAACGGAAGGGAGCGGAGATTATTGAATACTTCTTGTTAAGCTACAGTGCAACACCTAACCCAAATATGCCAAACAATAACTCTCCCGCGGAAGCATGTTTTGCGCGTAAAATCCGTTTACTCATCTACGGCACCTACTGAAAATGAACACACACATGGTGCGACGGAGTCGTTCACACCACCTATAGGCCCAGTGACTCGGCTTCGGCTAAGGGTTGTCGCAACGGCGGAGAGCAATGGACTCATGGTTACACAAAGCGCCGTCATGCGAATCAACTTCGCCCTGGATATACTGTTGGATACTTTTGAATTACTATTCACACATGTGCCCCCTGTGCAAACAGACTACCCCCAGTCGAATCCATATGCACACCAAGACGATGGCTCAGCCATAACCCAAAGCCATTTTGCACCGATGCAGGTGAACCTAAATCTGAAAACCTGCACACACTTTAAAAAAGAGGGTGGTTCGTTAAGATTTTATTTTCCCTCTGTTGTATACATTTGAGCGGCAATGCTCTTTCTTGTATTTGGTTCATCTTCAATACAGCCAACCTTCATCCTATCTCCTTCTTCCTTGGGATTTAGACTATACAACGTGACCGAATAAGTTCCATCAATCTCCAAATCACCCAGCTACAACACTTCAGTAAAATGGGTCAGGTGGAACAACATGCAGACATTTCCCAGTTTTGCCTCTTCCTATTCTTCGGCCTTTAGGATTCACTGGGCTTTCTGGTCTGTGCGGACACCAGGTATTGTCTGTCGTTAAACGATGCATCCAGCTAAAAGGGGTTGCGACAAAGCACCTAACAACGTCATGGAACTAAATAAAGTAAAAATAATCGTTCAACTGTAAAACCCTTTCGGTGCCATGCCACCCAAAAGAAGCAGGAAGGCTGGGATACTATCAGGTTGCTTAAGCCTAAACAGGGAAAGTCAAGAGGCAGAAGTCGAGTCCGAACCACGGCCCTTCTGGTCCGTAAATTTGCGCTCTAACCACTGAGCGATCTCGCCTCCAAGCTAAGGACCTACAAGAAACCTAGTGGTTGTAAGGGAATGGTTGCGTACTACAGCGAGTAGAAATGCCGCCATCAAGTATAGCTTTGAACATCTCCTCTAGTAATCGTTAACATCATGTATCATGCCAAGGGTCAGGTGTTTGGGATGGGTTAGGTGCTGACAACTTTGTTCGACTTCTTAATAGGCAGGTGCGATGTTGCGCTAACCTGAAATGCGCGGTGAGAACCCGCAGTGAACAAACACGTGATGGAAGTCTACAAAGGCAGTCCGTAGTTGCCGGCAGGCAGTGATCGACCAATAACTGATGACAACATGGTCTATTTGGGGTTCGAGCTGGTTTGCATGTAAGCATCACGTAGTCAAACTACTTCCGCTGTTCCGTAAATTTGTACTGTAAAGCAACAGCCTGCGGTCGGACGACAAATGTAGTAGACACTCTCTGTTGTCCACGTGTCCCGCGTTTACCCTATTGAGCCTCAACAGCTGTAAACCTACTTGTCTGCATTCTTACATCACCAGCAAATACAAGTGTTTGAGCTTTTAGCCCGTTGTATGGGAAAATCGAGAGTGTTACAGAAACCGACTTAGGGAGATTCCCAGCTACAATACTTTGGGGCATAAACAAATACACTATACAGAAGGGGATGAACCTTTTTGAGATCCTCTCAGACATTGAGAGAATCCTGAATTGACGACCATCAACAGGTATGTATTCAAGTAGAGATGATTCCCATTAATGGTTGAACACAATGCCCAATCCGGCATGGCAAACTGCAACTACTTCCGTGCAGCGGAAAACGGAAGTGATCGATGGCAGACTACAGTATTTGCGTCTTGGATTCTCGTTTCTTCTGGACATGAAACCCAGCATACGAGCAAGAGCAGTTTCTAGGCCTGTTTGCTCCAGAGTGCGAAAACCAAAATCAGCTAATTGATTATTAAAGCAACCGATGTTTGGGGCTTGGAAGTTGTTTTCGAATTGTGCTGAGCCACACCTTTTAGGCAGTGATTTAAAGGATGTTCAAAAATCACATCGAAGACAATTCTATGGAAAACCCAGTGAAACAAAACTTACTGAACTGTGATCTTCAATGTATTCAAGAGCAGCATCACGAAGGAATTTCAGATCAAGCTGAATTGCCGCGGGCAATATTTCAAAAACGGTTTTTGGATCCAGGAGAAAACCACATTGGATTTCGGCCAGCTACTTCGATAAGGCGGAAGAATGTTGCCAGTGAACAGCTCAAGTCAAAAACTTACCGATACCAGTTCTTTGCATTTGTAGTTGTCCGCTGTTTTCAACAGGTCAAACACCTGAAGGAATGATTAACTGGATTAAATGGATCATACTTCGTAAATATCCAAACGGTCGAAAGAAATCGAATTGGTGTACAAAAAGTACAGAAACAACAAAAACGTCACCGGTTTCAGTGACTGCATTTCGAAGGAGTTCTTATGCGGATCGCTCTCAAAAAGCCGACGGAAAACCTCATTCCTCGAAGAAAGAATGCACTTGTGTCCAAAAACCTTGGTACGTTCGAGACCGACAAGGAAGACTACATCACTGCGAAACTGACAGCAGTTCGGTCAGAAAAAAACTAACCTGAATGGTCGTCGATTGACGATTTTCGACATATCTTTCGCCAGTGTATGAGCACTTCCAAACAGAAATACGCCATTCTGTTGGGCTGTTTCAGTATCTGTTCCGGTTGAGCTCCGTTGGAACTGTTGTCGACCTTCTTTATTCATTTTCCACCGTGCCTGTCACGTGGCTCGCCTATTATTCCATGTTGAGTAGCTAGCAACGGCTAATCCACTGGAAGTGACAAAAAATGGCGCATTTATAGGAACGAGATGTACCAGAATAATCTACACAAAGGGATTTGGAACAGCCTCCAGTGAGCAGTGTGAAATAGGGCCTGACAGAGAGACCGGCTGCTAATCATAAGCTGGCTTCCGTTGGAGAACACTAGTCCCAGATGCAGCAGTATAAAGACCCAGACATCAACCAAGGGTGAGGGTTCCCGGTCATATGATGTTCCTATTGGTATCCGAGCTCATATGGTGTTTTGTCTGCAGGAAGCGTTATCGGCAGGATTATGTTTACTTCAATCAATTCGTACACGTCGGCTTGTTAACCTCGTTCATTTCGAACAAATCGGACACTCATGCATGTATGCGTGTCACGTACGGTTGTATACAACTCCTACCGATTAAAGGCTTGGGTAACCTAGCAGTATCACAGCCCTCGTACATCCTTTCGTTGGCACGGCAGTTAGGAAGGATGCTACCGCTTAACGATTTCTCGTCGATTAAAGGAACACTTCCACTCACAATTAAAAGACGCTTAACACTAAGCGTGACAAAATATCAATCGATAGTAATATAACACCGGCAGAGTCCGAGACCCTACAGCTTGAAACATTCGTGGTTTCATTTGAAACTAGTTAATCTAGGTAAGTGGGCCATCAAATCTCCACAGAGTTGTCGTGTCACCATGGATATCAAGAATGAAATGTTTCGTCGGGATTTTCCGGTGATCCTGACGCAATGGCTCAGGGTATCTACGGTATGGGAGTTGCACTCATCCAAAAGGCTGGAGCGCCTTACTGAACTAGATCTCAATAAACAGTCGTATTTGCACTGTGAGGTTGTCTGACTCAATTGAGATTAACACAGTTCGATGCGGCAAATGGTGTTCAATTGCGTATCAGCATACGCTCCAACGGAATGCAGTTCTGAGACCGAGGACGGGTTTGATCAATCTGTCAGCACTGTTTCGGTCAGTAGTTGGACAAACAAGCCCGGATAAAGCACAGTTAGCTGGCAGATTTGTAGTCGACAGTGAGCGACATGTTCAGTTGTGTGCAGATCATCGACTGTTCCTGGTTAGTACTAACAGAACCGAACTGTCATGATTTTTGCGTACTTATTCTTATACTTACCATATATACTCGTACTGAACTTTTGTATGTACATTTCAGCTCATGTGCGCTTGTTCTTAGACAAGTAAAACGTTGCTTATCCTCGAAAACCTGGACTCTGTTCTAACTCGTTCTCGGACACTTTCTAAACGTCTCAATTTACTTGTCTAAGAACACAATGGACCCGCAACTACGACCTCGGTTCTTCGACGCTGACCCAAACTCCGCAGATGCAGCAAAACGCTGGAATCACTGGTTTCGTACCTTCGAAACCTATCTGAAAACCGTCGAATCTTCTAAACCCGACAAACTTGAAACTCTCATCCACTTTGTGGATCCATTAGTATACGATCACATTGCTGATCACACCGACTATGAATCTGCAATCGCCACGTTACGGAAATTATATGTCCGTCCAAAAAATGTCATATATGCACGCTACCTGCTACAGACCTACAAACAGGAGAGTGGACAAGATATCGATCAGTTCGTACAAAAACTGAAATCATTAGCCAAAGACTGTGAGTTTAAATCTGTGTCTGCAACTGAATATCAAGATGAGTGCGTGCGTGATGCTATAATTAATGGCCTGGCGTCCACATCCATCCGCGAGAAGCTTCTAGCACAAAGCGAACTCACTCTGGACCAAACATATCAGCTGGCTAGATCCCTCGAATTGGCTCACAAACAGTCACAGTCATATGTTAGTAACGAACCCATATCTTGCTCTACGATTCCACCCATTTCACAGAATCCCGAACTGCGTGTTGATCCCACCACTGCTGCTGTAAAATCCATTCAGACATGTTATTTCTGCGGTTATGATGCACATCCTCGTCCAAAGTGCCCCGCTCGCGAAGCCGTCTGCAATCTTTGTGGTAAACGCGGTCACTTCCGCCGCGTGTGCCGTTCAAAAAATACCTCCAAGTTCCACACAAGTTGTACAACAAAGCCTACTTTATCGTCATTATTCGTTGCAGCAGCTCCTACCTGCCTGGCGCATGCCATCGCAACTATCGAAGTCAATGGCATCACTCTCCGTGCTCTGGTCGACACAGGGAGTTCTTGCAGTTTCATTAACGCTAAGGTCGTGAAACTGCATAATTGGAAAATTTATCCAACTTTCTCAGTCGTCACAATGGCGTCTACATCCCTATCTTGTCGAACGACTGGTTACGCTTGTGTTTCTGTCCGATACAGAGATACCTCATACAGTGAACTGAAGCTCTTTGTAATGCCAAACCTCTGCACCGACGTTTTACTCGGGCATGACTTTCTAGGTCTACATGGCAAGGTAGAAATTTCATTCGGCGGGGATCGTGATGCGCTCACCATCTGCGGCCTGACGGCTGTAAACGTTGAATCACCATCACTTTTCGCCAACTTGTCTCCAGATTGCAAGCCTGTTGCAACCAAATCAAGAAGGCATCATCCGGATGATGAAAAATTCATTCGCGCCGAAGTTGACCGCTTATTGCAAGAAGGCATCATCGAACCGTCAACGTCTCCCTGGAGAGCGCAGGTTTTGATTACTAAGGGTATCAATCACAAACGCCGGATGGTTGTTGACTACAGCCAAACTATCAACCGGTTCACATATCTGGACGCTTACCCTCTGCCACGCTTGGACAAAATGATTGAGGAGATTTCGCACTACGAAGTCTATAGTACATTAGACCTCTTGTCTGCTTACCATCAAGTCCCCATCTCGGCATCCGACAAACCTTTTACAGCATTCGAAGCATGTGGTGGCCTGTTTCAGTTTCGTCGCATACCCTTCGGTGTCACAAACGGTGTTGCGTGTTTTCAGCGAACTATTAACAATATCATTACGACTGAAAAGCTGAAAAGCACGTATGCCTACATAGACAATGTGACTATTTGTGGCAAGACCCAAGAGGAACACGATCTCAATCTCCAGTCATTTTTGAGAGCTACGAGGAAGTATGGGATCACTCTTAATGATGACAAAACAGTCACTTCTTCAAAAGTTATCCGCCTCCTAGGTTATGAGGTTTCAAAGGGTGTCATTAGACCAGACCCTGAACGCATGGAACCCATCCGTCAGTTACCTCTTCCGCGTACTACCACGGAAATGCAACGTATCATCGGTATGTTTGCATATTATGCTCATTGGATATCCTCATTTTCCGACAAAATCAACAAACTGGTAAAGAATAAAACTTTTCCCCTACCTGCCGACGTCGAGTTGACCTTCGACAACCTAAAGAACGAACTAGAAAATGCTACACTAATCACAATAGATTATAACGAGCCTCTGGTTGTTGAAACGGATGCCTCCGATGTGGCTATAGCCGCGTCCCTAAGCCAAAACCGTCGGCCGGTAGCCTTTTTCTCGAGGACACTCAATCCGAGCGAGAAGAATCATTCTGCCATCGAGAAGGAGGCCTACGCTATCGTTGAATCCATCCGGAAATGGCGGCATTATCTACTCGGAAGACCCTTCAAACTGATCACCGATCAGCGTTCAGTCTCATTCATGTACGGCGGTGGACAGAAGGGTAAAGTGAAAAACGACAAGATACAACGATGGAGGATTGAGCTGTCCGAGTACAAATATGATGTCATATACCGACCTGGCAAGGACAATCATGTCGCAGACACTCTGTCACGAAACGTATGTGCTTCCATGGGGAGCAATAACCAACTCGGAGAGCTTCATAACTCCCTCTGCCATCCAGGCCTTACCCGTATGTTTCATTTTGTGCGTTGCAAGAATCTCCCCTACTCCGTCGACGATGTCAAGCGCGTCATTTCCTCCTGCAAAGCGTGTGCTGAACTGAAGCCAAGATTCTGGAAATACTCTGGCAGACTCATTAAAGCATCACAACCTTTTGAACGTCTGAGTTTGGTCCTTTGCCATCTAATACACGCAACCGCTACTTGCTCACAATAACTGACGAGTTTTCTAGATTCCCATTTGCATTTGTGTGTGCGGATATGACCTCGGCAACTTTGATTGACTGCCTCACACAGATCTTCTGTCTGTTCGGAATGCCAGCCTATATCCATTCCGACAGAGGCTCGTCGTTCACGTCGTCTGGGATCAATAGCCTTCTTCTGGAAAAAGGTGTTGCTACGAGTTATACATCAGCTTATAATCCACAGTGTAACGGTCAAGTTGAGCGTCTCCACGGTACTCTCTGAAAAACAATAAGCTTAGCGCTGAAATCTCACAATCTCCCGCCTTCTCGTTGGGAATCGGTACTCCCTGAAGCTCTACACAGCCTCCAATCATTGTTATGTACAGTCACTAACTGTACTCCACACGAACTTTTGTTCCAATACGCACCTCGCTCAACATTTGGAATAGCATTGCCATCTTGGTTGACCATCCCTGGTCCAGTTCTGCTACAACGAGGTGATAGGTCATCCAAGTACCAACCACTATTAGAAGAAGTTGGCCTTCTGAACTGCAACCCACACTACGCACACATTGCTCATCGAGACGGAAGAGTCGAAACCGTGTCCGTTCGCCGTCTAGCCCCAGCGGTTTAGAATACAACTGACAATGTTCTCAATCTGTCTGAATCCAATGAGGATACCGAACACCCAGATACGACTGAACTAATCGGACGTCAGCCTGATAGCTCTCAAGCATCTGAATCTTCTTCTGTACCGTCCTCCGAACACCAACCGAGTTATCCTGGGATTCTAGAACAACAGCGACGCATTCATCCTTATAGTTTGAGGAACAGAGAAGCTTGATTCAGTACATCACTTCCTGTCTACGTCAGCTCATATGTGCCTATTCAAACACTGTCGGGGGTGAATGTCATGATTTTTGTGTGCTTATTCTTATAC